GAGGGACCACCGGCATCACGACCCCAGGGACAGTGGGTGGCTCAGGTGGACCTGGCTCTGACACCCTGCGGAGGGAAATGATGCGGGTGCTGGGTGGTCCCTCAGCATGGGATGGGGTGCCTCCACCGGTTCTCAGCAGAGCTGAGCATGGGCTGCTGTCTCTCGACAGGGCTGCTGGGGATGGGGTACCACACGGAGGGGATGTCCCCCACCTCAGCACCCTGTCTCGCACCCTCCCGGCATCCTGCCAGGCAGCCCCTGACCACTGCTCATCCCCTGCATCAATTGCTGTGCCAGGCTTTGAGGGGGAACTGTAAGCCAAGGGGAGCTGAATTTCAGACCAGAGCCAGACACTTTGGTCCATTTGGGTTTCTTCTAGCAGGTATTTCTGAACATGGGGATGGGGGTCACAAGCCATGGCTCCTGCTGCCATCACACCATTTCCATGCACCCCGAGCACAGTGGGAACAAGCTGTGACCTGCTGCCTGCCCTGCCCTTGCTGTCTGGCCTGCTCCTGCTGGTCCTGGAATTCGGTGCTAATTGTAAAGCATGAATGAACGTAATTGGGTGTGCGGCCAAGTTCAAGCAGCCTGCCACACTGCACGGGGCCTGAAGGAGCACCCTGGACCCCCACCGTGCCCAGCCCCTGCCTCCTGGCCATGCCTGGTGTGTCCCCTGCCTGTCCCCTAAGGTTGGCCGAACACCACGCTGCCTCCTCGGGGCTGCTGCCAGGCCCGTGGGGAGAGGGGCAAGAGGAGCCCAGCGGGAGTGGAGCAGGCTCCAGCACGTCTTTTTGGCACAGTCCACAGCAGCAGCGGGGTGTCCCCCCGCACCCAGCTTTCAGAGGGGACCAGGGGCAGCCCTTACCTGCTGTTGAATTTCTCAGGGTGCTTTTCTCGCATGACATGGAAGCGATGGGCAATAGAGGCGTCCTGTGGGGAAAGGGAGCACAGAGACATCGGTGGCGCAGCAGGGAAATAGAAACCCCCCTCTGCACCCCACCAGCACGTGCCAGGATAAGGGGGTTCAGCCATTCACCCTTGCCACCAGCCCCCGTGGCACAGGAGCACAGCACGGGGGCCATGCCAAGGCGATGGGGGCATCCTCAGCCAGGCTGCTTACAAAGCGTTGAATGGGCTCATTAAGCGAGACATAATTAGTGTGCTTGGCCTCCTTCCCCGTCCCAGGGGCCCTGCACGGAGGTGATGCCGAGGGATGGAGGAAGGGCTACCGGTGAGGCAGTGGGGCTCCGGGGACACGCCAGGACCCTGCACCCTGACAGCTCCCCTGGCAGGGTGGCAGCTCTTCCTGAAACTTATCACAACCTCTTCTATGTGGACTGGGAGGCATTTAAGCCAGACTCAGAAGCTGTCACCAAATGCCACCTGCAGTGACATCACCTGGCGTTAGCAGGAGCTGATGTGAAACTAGAAACATCTCACAGTGCTGCCAGGTGGGTGACCCACGCTGTGGTGGTACTGCTCGGGCACCCATGGCCCAGGACAGAAATGCTCCAAGTCACTGGGAAAAGAAGCGCTTTCCACTTTGCTGTTCCCCCAAAGCCCTGCTGCTCCTAGGATCAACCCCTGGGGCTGGGAAAGCCCCCATGGCACAGGGCTCCCTAACCCTCCCTGGGTTAGGAAAACATGGGGGACTGCAGGTCCAAGCACCAAAGCAGGGCTTTGCCCATGGGTGTCATCTCGACAAAAGCTTCAGGTGGGGTGTCCAGCAGATCTCAACCCATCCCTGAGACCCCAAACTTCCCTGAACCGCATTTAAGCTCCTTGCACACTTGCTCTTGCAACATTCCCAGCTGGGAAGAGAGACATTCCATGCCTGTTTATGCATTTAAGTGCTGCCATTACAAAATGAGAATAAAACCAGAAAAACAATGTCAGGAGGCAGATGCTCCTTGGAATTAACTCAGGGCTGGCTTGGAAAAGAGCTAGGGATGAGTCTAGGAGACAGGGAGGGAAGCATGGAGGGGTAGCATCCCTTGAGTGCACCTGCCAGGCTGGATCCCTCCAGTGACTTTGTAACAGCGGAGTCATTTTGCACCAGCTGAGTGGGAAATGACCCTGGAAATCCCCTGATCCAGCTGGGTTTGAGGCTGCAGCTGTGCTGATGACCCAGGTGACAGTTCCCCTGCTCCACTGGCCTCCGGAGCTCTTCCCTTTGCTTTGCTGTGGCCAGGTGGCTCCGGTGGGCATGGCACAGTCTGGGCCCTGACAACTAGCCCTGCACTGTGCTGCCCTGCAGCACTCACCACCCCAATGGAGAAGTAGTTGTTGATGATGGTGGATGGGACAGGGTCTCCGTTGGTCTCTCTGTCACTGGGAATGATGTCCATCTGCCAGCGGTCCAGCATCACCTCTGTGCTGTGCTCGATGTCTTTCAGGACCTTCATCAGGTTGCCCCCTTCATAGCCTGTAAAGGAAAGAAGGTAGTCATCGGAGCAGAATGAAGGAGGATGAAGAGGCGTGTGGCCATATCATGTAGGACTGGAGGTAGTCGGGTGCTGAGCACCCGGGGCCCTGCTGCTATGGTACCAGCAAGATGCCTAGCTCATCCTTGCAGCAGTGGCAGAGATTTCAGCTAATGGTACAGGTCTCCCAGATGAAAAAAGTTGTTGGGCAGGACCTGGCTGATCTGGGTTCAGAAAGCAGTGGCTCCTTTTTTTGGAAGGGGTTAGAAGCACCATCAGGAGGTGCTAGGGCTGAGATGCAGCCCTGAGCCTCACCCCGAGAGCCCGGGAGCCCTCCCCGCCCCAGGACAGCACCCACCCAGCCATACTGAATGGTCCCCGTGGGCCAGCCCCCGCAAGGCGATGCTTGCCCGGCCTCACCTCCACCCCAGAGCAGGCCCCGGGCCAGGTCATTGTGCCAAGGGCAAGGACAGCCACTGGCGGGTGCTTCACCAAGTTCGCCTTGTCTGCAGTTCAAGGGGAAAGAGAGGTTTGGGGCTGAAAGGGCTCACTCCTTGTTCATCTCCCATGTCCCTCCTTGGCTGGCACCTCAGGTTGGGGGAGCCCAGGCACAATGTTGTTGCCAGGGGAATACTGGGAACTCACGGCAGATCGTCAAGGACATGGGTGGACAATGGTCTATGGGAGCATGGCCGCTACTCACTCACCTATGCAGTCCAGGATCCAGCCCACCGTGCCATCCCCTCCACAGGCCAGGACACGGAAATCTGGAGTGTCCCGAAAGAAGCTCAGCCTGGAGAAAGCCAGGAGAGACAAGGGGTGACGTGGGGGAGCAGGGGCTGGTAAGAGGGAGCAGAGGATCGGCCACAGCATCTCCGTACCCCGGTGCGGGCCCGCCGCGGTCCAGGTTGTACACTTGGCGTGGATTGAGCAGGTAGTGAAATTTCCGAAGGACCCTAGGTAAAGAGAGGCATGAGGGATGCCACAGAGGCAAGTCCCCCTCCAGGAGAGGTGCTGGGGCAGCCCAAGGGACCAGCAGCCCCCGACCCCAGGGGTGATGCTCTCCCCGGGCAGGATCCCACCTACCGCTCCCCCTGCCTTCCTCCGCTCTTGGGGTTCACAAACACCAGGAGGGGGTGTGTCCCAGGCCGGGGGCTGATCTGGAGGGCAGAAAGCGTGGCTGCGAATGCCTGCCCACTGCAGGGCCTGGTGTGCACCCACAGCAGACCTTGCTGGCAGCCTGGCACAGGAACCTACCTGCAGTCCTTGACCATCCACGGTGGTGGAATTGAACTTGAAGCCCTGGTTGTCCTCAGGGCTGGTGCTGGCAGGGGAGTCGCCCTCCGATCTCCGGCAGTGGGATTGCCTGTCCTTTGGGGAACAGAGGCGTGGATGCGCACGCCGTCCCAAGAAGGCAGTGCCGGCAGCCGGGGAAGGCAGGGCAGCCATGGCAATGCCCTGCCCAGGCCCTGCCACCCCGCAGCCAGGGCAGCCGGGGAAGGCAGGTCAGCCATGGCAATGCCCTGCCAGGTCCCTGCCACCCGGCAGCAAGGAGGGGGGCACTTACCAGGACAACGGGGCAGATGTAGGAAGGCAGCAAGATATGGTCCCGCAGCGGGCCCCCATCACACTCTGGCTTCACGTAGGAGGCACATTTGTTGTGGAGCTGGAAGGGGCAGGAGGAAGGGACCTTGGGCAGGGGACACCCAGCCATCTCCTATTCGTGAGCCTCTCCTCGCCCAGGGCTGGCCGTGTGGGGTGTGCTGCAGGGTGCACCCCAGGCCCCCCACGCCCGTGTACTCACAGTGACTTGGCACCAGACGCAGTGCAGGCCGGTGATGCCCTGGTAGCACTTGATGCTCTTGTGGCATCTGTCACATTTGATGGGGGAATTGCCCTCGATCCAGGTGTGCTGCATCACCTGCAAGGCATGGCGGGGGGGCCACTGTGGGCGCAGCACCCACCAACCCACAGGCACCTCCTCTCCGCTAAGGGCTGGTGCCATGATTTCAGAGGGTGGCTCATCATGCAGGGATGCTGACTGATCCAGACCAGCCCCTCACATGGCTGTCTTCCCTCCCTGCAGCACATCGGGGACACCTGTCCCCCACCCAGAGCTGTGGCAAACCTCGGGGCTGGGGGTCCTGTGGGTCTCCAGGGGCTGGGGACTGGGCCTGCCCTGCCAGGCTCTGGATGCTGGGAATGCCCATGAGCTGCTGCCCAGGACCTGAAGGGCAAATCCCAGGGGAAAAAGCCATGGGGGACCAGGGCAGGAGACTGAGGGGCCAGCTGCTGCCAGCAGTGCTGCCTCCAGGAGGGCTCCATGGGAGATGTGCCAGCTCAGAATCACGCTGCCTGCCTACTCACACTTGTGTTTCTCTTGGATTTCACGTAGGTGCTGATGCAGGAGGCAATGTCTTTGGACACACACCTCTCATGGACAGTGTACTTGCAGACTGGTGGGAGAGAAGGTGGTAGTGAGCATCACCCCCTGGCACAGGCGCTGCCCCCTCCCCGCTCACCCTGCACCACCCACAGGGCTCAGCACTGGTGGGGGCCTGTCTGCCCTCCCCAGGGTGCTGCGATGG